ATATTCATTAATGCCCATTCTTGAGCCCACACATATAGCATGGCCCCATCTCTTCATCCAGGAAGTACACTTTAGGCCTCCAGCCACTTCCTCCAGTCCATTTGCTTTGCCACTAGATAGTTAAGATAGGAGTGAGGACAGAAGGAACAACGGCCAAAACCCTGGAGAGGATCCCAGTTTCCAGCTGGGATTGGGCATCAGCTAGGCAGGGTGGCCTAATTCTAGAGTGGGGTATTATGACACAAGAAGGCAGGACGACAAAAGAGCAAAAAAGAACACACTCTCAAGCCCAACTCCCCAGTCCCTACCCCAGCTCCATTACTCTGACAGTGCGATCTGAGGCAAGTTACTCAATCCTTCTGTGCCTCAGGCTTTCCCATGTAAAAAGTGGAGACAATAACAATCTGCCCTTACGTAGATGTTGTAAGTATAGGAACAGTACCTGACACACAGGAAGTGCTTTATAAATTTTGGTTACAACTTCTACCACCTTTAAGATGCAAATCAATATACTTTTAAGCAGCATAAGGAGGTTTCCAAAGTCCAGAATGATGCACTTCTTTGCAGCAGTGATCTGCCCGGGGCTGGAGCCGAGGTGGAAGCAAGCCTTAGCTCGATCCATCTGATTAATGTATTCAGGATTTCAAATGACCCACTCCAGACCCCTTTCATCTGCAAGGGTGGCAGAGAAGCAGGACTGTGTACCTGCTTTCTTTACATTAAACTTCAGCACAATCTTGGTGGAAGTCAGCAAAGTGATTGAACAATAGCTACAAATCTAACAACTCTTGGGTTCTAAGATCTGTGAAATGGGGGAAAAAGGGGTCCGTAGTTATTATTTCCTGGGATACTCTGATGATGGCAGTTACAAAGCACTTTTGAGGTGCTAGAGGAAGAAAAGAGGTGCCATGAGTGAAAGATATTAATAGCGTTGTGGGCCATGGAGAACAACTCTTTCCACACTCATTCTGCATGTGTGATATATATCACTTCCCCAAGAATAACGAGGGCTATTTTTACATTCAGATTGCATTGTAAGCTCATTGTTACTAGGTCAGCCACCACCTCTCTTGTCTTTCTCAGATTTGCTTTTTTCCAACTTAAAACACTCCTATATAGGTAGATCTCTACCAAAGATACAATTGATTTTAGTTTGCTCTTGGTCATTCTGAAGCCCAGGCTAATCTGATTACAGACATCCACATTCAGGGTAAGTTTTGCCATCTGTTGAATCTACAGTGAAAACTCAAAACAAGAAGGGTCTTGGAGAAGACTTTCCTAGCATACTGCTGACCACAATTTCCTGACTTGATTGTTAGTTGAATATATGCACAAGCTCTTCCTCCTTCCCAGCTTCTTGGAGGGGCGTGCATTCCTGGTACAGATGAAACATTTATCACTACAGTAGATTGCAAAAATGGCCAGAATCCTTTAATACCCACCCCCCACCCCATATCCACATCCTCTGCAATGTGACTTTGTACATCCTTTCATTAAGAGTTGGAGTCTGGCCTGGACCTGTGACTTACTTTGACCAATAAAACGTGGTAGTGATGCTGTGCCAATTCTAAGCTTAGTGTGCAAGAGGTTTGCACACTTATACTTGCCCTCTTGGGATCTCTGCTTCCTCCTCTGAACAAATGGCTGGCCCACTGGAGGATGAGAGACTGTGTAGATCAGAGCCAAGTCTGCCCCAAACACATGTTAGAGCCCAGTGCAGATCAGCAAAGCTGCATACCCAACCTACAGTTGGCCACTGACACATGAGGGAACCCAGTTAGCCCAGCCTAAATTGCCATCTACAGAATAATAAGCTAAATAAATGATTGTTGTTTTTAGCCACTACGCTTCGGGGTGGTTTGTTATGCAGCATTACTGAGCTACTAGATAACTGATACACCAGAGGAGTAAGGATATCACTGTATCATGATTTTATTTGGCTGCTACGTTCTCCCTCCCACTTTTGAGTAAGAAGGCATAACTCTTCTTGGTCCCACCCATAATCTCTAACACAGGATTGGTAGTTTCATGAAACTAGCATTTGAGGAATTTAAGGGTAGATTCCACTTTTACCACTCTGAAAGCCTTCATAATAAAATCAAAACTAATGTTAACAGGACACTGACTACTTGCCAAGCACCAGACTTCTAGAGCTGTAGATATGTTCACCCCGTTAATCCTTACAACCTACGTGATAGAGACTATTACTACCTCCCATTTTATGAATGAGGAAACGGAGGCTCAGCTAAGTCAAATACGTTCCCAAGATCTCACAGCTTAAGTGGCAGAGAGCTAGAATATGCTGCCAGGCATTTTGACTTTTTAACCACCCTGCATCCTGCCTGCCTCCTTGAAGTGAGTTCCAGTAGAATGTCTGTGTGTGTGTGTGTGTGTGTGCACCTATGCATGTGCATGGGTGTGGGTGCACGTGCAAGCACAAAGAACGGAGGTGGGCATGGAAGTAGCCAGCCTTACCTGAGCCTGATGCAGAAGCATAGTCATCATCATCAATAGGATACACTCCTGAAGCTTCTTCAACAGAGCTGTTGTCGAGGTACATGTCTTTATCAGATGTCGGCTCTGCTCTCTGAGAGAAGAATGAGAAGGGATTCAGGATGGTGAGAGATCAAGAAACATGCTCATTTATCTTACTTGTTCAGGTTTACACCACAGTGACTATCTCTCTCTCCTCCATTCCTCTGAACCCGCATTTCCACCCTCCCCTTCCTCAGGACATCCTGATAAGTCACAGGCTAACCACAGGCAAAAGCCCCCCAAGGAAGCCTATGTAGCCTAAAATCCAGGAGAACCAAACAGCTCAGAGACGTAAGCACCTATCAGGGGCTTATTTCATTATATTCCACTAAAGCTGCCTGAGTTTGGTGGTCCCAGGGCTAGTTATAAGCCAGCTCAGGCATTCTCTTTGTTACAGGGTCACCAGCTCAGGCATTCTCTTTGTCACAGGGTCACTGTGAGGCTTCCTTACCGGGAAACTTACCAACCATTCAAATTATTTAAGACTTTCTTGGGGATGAATACAATAGTATTACCACACTTCTGCCAAATCATGACCCAAGGATCCATCAAGGCCCTGCAAATATTCGCAGGCTTGGCCACACTCAGACCTTTATCACTACACCCAAGAGCTTCCCAGTTGTCCAGGCAGCCCAGATCCATGCCGACGCCAGGCAGGGCACCCTGTGAGCAGCAGTGCCTGTGGGGTTCATCTGACAAGGGCAAAAGCCCCCACAAGCCCGCTTCTAGGGCTCACTGGCTTAGCAGAGCCTTAATGACAAATGCAGATAAACCCACACAAGCACATTCTTTTTATATTACTGGCACTTGGAAACAGCAAATCACACACTTCACATGGAGAGGGATCGTTCGCTAAGTATACCAGCTCCCCGGCTTCTTAGCTCTTCAGTAAGAGTTTTAGTATTAAAATTCACCCTAATCTTGCCAGAAGAGTACTCGCATGAATTGGAGGCAGAGTAGACGTATAATTTTTTTTTTTAATGGTTTCAGTAAACTGATATTTTACCACCAGTATCTCATGACAACCGAGAAACAAAGCAGACTGTCAGATTCTAAACATTTGTGTTTAGAAACGGGCAACACTAGTTATTGTCCTATTTTTAAATATAAACTGAATGTTTGTTCCTAACAGGAATTATAAAAAAAAAAAAAAAAAAAAAGTTTTCCTTACTACACTGGCTTTCATTAGATTTCCTCTTAAAAACTTTGCGCTCCAGCGGTCGCCGTGACTAGAACCTTCCTAAGAGGGCAGATGGGTCCAGCCCTCCGTAACAGGACCAACTTTATTCTCTCCGGTTTCAGTGGCTGCCTCAAGAAGCTGACGCATTTTAAACCTGAGCCCATGTTCTCCACCAGGCTTCAGTGCCAACTGATGGAAAAGTATGGGAACTCGTTTTGTGTGAGCCACAACACCGGCACATCGAGAACTAAAACCTTAGGGACTGGTTTTCCAGTGGGTTGGCTTGTAGGCATCGAGTGACCACCCTGAGCCAAGAGCGTGCTGGACTTTTTCTGGTAGAATGGTCAGAGCTGAACTCTGCAATCTGAGGCCATCCTGCATCCTACTGGCTTCCAAGGCCATCATCACCCTTCCAGGCAGTAATTCCCAAAGCTTGTGAAGCGTGTCAGGAGGCCCACATTCCTCAGCTCTACAATCAACCCAACTGACCCCTATCAGACTCTCGGCGGCTTTGAGGCAAGGACGGTGCCACACTCATCTTTAATCCACCTCGGCTCCCTGTAATCACAGCTCCTGGCATACACTAGGTGCTCAGCAAACGTTGCTTAGGCTGTTTGTGCTCACACCGAAGAACAGTTTTCAGTCCTGCTTATGTTAAACTCTGTCCTGTGAACATCGTCTGGAGGACCCTCTCATTCCTTCTCTCAAATCCTGTCTATGAAAAAGGTTCTGACTTCCCCGTCCCTGTACGGCATCTAGCTAGAAGCTGCTAGAGGATTTTATAGGGTATGAACAGTTTAAGCCCTAAACTCTTACTGCCATTTCTCACTGTTTCATGTACACTTTCTCTTGCGCCTCAGCTGGGTCCAACTTGCTGAAGGCAGGTCTTCAATGACCCAGCATGCTCCCTGCCTCTCTCAAAGTACATGAGCACTCAATAAATATTTGTCCATTGAGATTACCTAAAACAAATTGGCCTTTGACTCAGGTTTCAGAGTTTACACATGTCACAAGACCTCCAGGATTCCTAAGGTTAAAAATCTCTCGATTCTAAGCCTGGGCGATCATCTGCCCCCAAACTTGCCATACATGTTGCACTGCATCTATTTAAGTAGCCCAGAGTCTGAAAAGTAAGTAAAAGTATCTTTTCACATCTTAGAGACCTATCTGTCTTTTGTTCATATTGATTTCATTTTCCTCTTGGCTCTGTCAAAGAAGTTTGATGGGGCATGGGTCACACAAAGATATTTAACCCCTACGGGTAAACTGCATTTCTATTCATTAGGTGCGGCGGCTGTCCGGACTAATACATCTGTCACAACGAACAGAGAGTTGGGCCAAAAACGTCTCCAGGGGATTCTGGCCACCTCACAGTTCAGCCACACTGGGTACCCTGACGAGCAACAGACTTCCCCAGGACAACCCTTACGAGGAAGTTGTCAGGCCCGAGTTGCCACAGGGCTTGGGATAGAAGTCTGGGCGCATTTGGAGAAGCTGGCTTGCCCTCAGCCAATCGGGGTCTGTGGGGCTCCAGCATGGTCGTGGGGCCAATGGGCTGTTTAATGTGCTCGAGGGCAGCTACGTGTATGTTCTCCTCCATCCTCCAGTGTGGTGCCCATAATTATGACCTCAAACTAAAAGTTATCACCTGCTCTGATGTCAGGGGCACCAAGCGCATAGGAGGAATTACCAAAATCCTTCCACAAAGTCCAATGAACAATAAGCAGGGCCCTTTTCACACTGTAGCAGATGATGCTCAAAGAATACCTCCACTGTCTTTCCTTTAAATAAAAAACACCTTCCCAAACATGACAAGTGTCTTTTGTGAAGACTCCACACTGCAGAAGACTTCTGCAGTCAACATGCCTGGGGAGAGAAATGGATTATGCACCACCACTCCCCTGGGGAAAGAAGATGTGCATCTCTCGAAAGCCAGGGAAAGGGGTGACTCAAGAGGACTTCTTTTTACACCTAGCCAAATGTGGTCTGCCTCACTAAGCAGAAAACCCCAGGACATACTCTGAATACTTTCTTGCTCAATGAGACAGAGCCACTGGACAAAAGGAATGGGGAGAGAATGTACGTAGACACAGCCCGGCAGCTCGGAGCAGCCGGCCAACTGGAGGATTTCATAACGAGGCTGTTTAATTTGGGACTGACCATTTCTGTGAGGCTGTGCCAATGATGTTGGCTAAGAGGGCTCAGAGTACGAGCTGCAAGAAAAATAGAGCTGGTCTTTCAGACCTTTCCCCCTCGGCTGATGCAAGATGTGAACACAGGAGAGCAAAGGGAAGTTGTGGAAAGCCGCCTGGTATACTGACGGGGGGCGGGGGGGGGGTGGGAATCTACTGCAAACCAAGATAGAGGTTGATACTCTACGCCACCTTCAGCCACCGAACCCGGAGCACCGAACTGCCTGCAGAGAGGAGGCAGTTCTTCCCAGAGGAGAATGCACATTGGACTCAGTTTTGCATCCCCAAAATGCCCCAGGGAAGGCAAGATACATACCTGCCTCCACCCTAACTCCATCCCTCCCCTGGCCCCCAAATCACAGCAACCTCATCATACCAGGCCTGGACCATTAACTACTAAGGCCTCCTTACTTGGTCACTGCTTACGTCTTTGTGTTTGGATCAATTCTCTGCAGAGGGACCACCCTTAAATGTGACAGTGTCACTCCCAGCTGAAAACCTTTTATTGGCTCCCTGTCACCTACAGGATGAAATAAAAACTCCTTAGCCTTGAAAGAAGTGCTTTCACCATATGGCCTCACCTGCACTTCAGTATCAGCTGCTGCCACTTCCTCTACCCAACCCCAGGCTCCACGACATACTCAAGAGATGCGGTCACACGATTTCCTTTATGTAACGCCTCTAAGAGGAAATAAACTCCTTTCAGGATGGCAAACTGAGGAAAGCAATGGTGACCTAGGTCTTACATGCCTGAGGATGATGAAAACCAGTATTTTGAGAACACGATTCAGCCCAAACTTGTAACCGTATCTAGAATATAAATGAACAGAGAAATGTTAATTCAACACACAAAAGACCATCCAGTGGACCAGTCTTGGTTCTAGTAATATCACCAACCTGTCTACTTTCTCAGCAAAGAAAATTTGTGACATAGCAACTGAACAAATCTACGCACTGGATTTTCTCACGTAGATAAAGCCTACTTTGAACAAATACTACGTTTCAAACTGCCAGTGTGGAAATCAGTTATTTAGAAATCTGAGGTCTTCCTTGAAAGATACACTGCCTTATCTACTAGATGAATGTTCTCTAAGTGCCTTAAACTAGTGCAAGCGATAAACAGTGGTCAAGATAATTAGAGCTCAAAGCAGCAGGTGTTAAATTCACTTTACGGTTTAAACTTAGGTTAATAACAAAGACAGAAAGTAGAAAACCTAACTATTCATGGATACCAGACACCCCAGAACTGACCTTCAGAAAAGTAGCCTTTGGATATAAAAATAAAACATTCATGTGGCCTAATATTGCATTCTGTATCATACCATAGAAAACAAACACTTAGATGATACTCTTCTCTTAGTTTTGGGATAAAGGCACATTTGTCCCAATTTAGACTCAAATGCATATTAATTTTTATAGTGACTATAAAGTGCCAAACTGGCTGTTAACTTTAGCTTATCTTTCCAGAGATGACTCAATAAACTATTTTATTAATGGCTAACATACACCGTAAATGAAATAATAATTAAAATTTTCTCCCATACAGTCACTCAGAGATGGTATACTTGTCCTTAAGGTGAACTTGCCAATTCTGGCTTAGGTAAAGCCCAAAGGGACATTAATCTTAGAGCATGACTGGACACTATAGGCATCAAGATCATCTAGTTGCTTCAAAAGTGAAGAAACAGTACCACAGTGGCAAAGTAGCTGAAAATCGTTCAGTCTAGTTGGTGGCCAAAGATAAATCCAAGACTTCAGACACCTAATTCTAGGTTCTTTCTATTACACTGTAATTCCCCAGAACATGAAGATATCAGACCCATTCAGCCTGGGGTTCAAAAGGATTAGCTGTAGGTGACTGTTACGTGTTTATTATGTGCCAGGCATTTTGTGCTAAGTGTTTTATAAGCATTGGCACATTTAATCATCTCAACAATCTCCACTGCAGACCAAGGACCCGAGGCTTGCCCAAAGACCTACAGCTCAGAGGTGGGGAGCAGGCTTCATATACAAGTCTGGACTTCAAATTGTATGCTCACTGAGAGTGCTGGCCATGCTGTGCCTAACGTCTCACCTGCTTTTCTTGTGATTCACACCTAATCATAATAAAGGTCACGAGAAGAACTCCAATAGTCACGTTGAACCCTGCTTGATCCAGCACTTACAAACCTTAGCCATGGAAATCCTCCCTCCAGTGTATCTATTTAACATCTTTCAGAACTAGTATTCTTGTCATCATAGATAGGGAGAAAATTCTATGTTAAGAGTTAGAGTTCGAGCTTAACAGTTTCTTCTCTGCCTAATGTCCTGTAAGTTTCCCATATGAAGGATCCCTGGAGTCGTGACCATCAATTGCCATTCATTTTCAGTAATACCTTCATCTCTCTCAAGTGTCCCATCCAAACCAAAGATGTTAATAGAAGGAAAGAACCCTATGTTTATTGTTGGAAAAAGATACTGCTGTCCTTGAGTATGTGACATTTGCTTGTTACATAAGCTTATAAGCAAATACTGTTGTATTTACAAGCACTTATTTTAAGGGTTTGTTTACAGACAACTAACTACCTGGTACCCAATCATGTCCCATGCTTACTCTACCATCCTGTATATAATACATACAAAAGCCAAGGTCAAAGGTGAGGTCACACATGAAAGAAAATTAGTAAATCCCCTACTTAAGAAATCCTCAAGAAAGGTCTTTAGAACTGCTTCAAACACCTATACTAGTCCTTAATTACTTACCCAGAAAGCTAATGCCTTTTACTTTAAGAAAAACTTTAGCGTACCTTCCATAAAGTGAGGAATGGATTCACAGACATACCTCAGAAATATTGTAGGTCCGGTTCCAGACCACCGCAATAAAGCAAATATCACAATAAAGAGAGTCAAATGAATTTTTTTTTGGTTTCCCAGTGCGTATAAAAGTTAGGTTTACTCTAGAGTCTAGTAAGTGTGCAGTAACATTATGTCTAAAACAATGTACATATCTTAATTACAAAGTACTTGATTGCTAAAAAAATGCTAACCATCATCTGAGCTTTCAATGAATTCTAATCACTGATCACAGATCACCATAATAATAATGAAAAGTGTGAAATATTGTAAGAATTACCAAAATGTGACGGGGACACAAAGTGAGCAAATGCTGTTAGAAAAGTGGTGGTGTTAGGGACGCCTGGGTGGCGCAGTCGGTTAAGCGTCCGACTTCAGCCAGGTCACGATCTCGCGGTCCGTGAGTTCGAGCCCCGCGTCAGGCTCTGGGCTGATGGCTCGGAGCCTGGAGCCTGTTTCCGATTCTGTGTCTCCCTCTCTCTCTGCCCCTCCCCCGTTCATGCTCTGTCTCTCTCTGTCCCAAAAATAAATAAAAACGTTGAAAAAAAAACAAACAAAAAAAGAAAAGTGGTGGTGATAAATTTGCTCAATGCAGAGGTGCCACAAACTTCAATTCATAAAAAACAAAAACAAAAAACCCCGTAATACCTGCAAAGCATAATAAAACAAGGTATGCCTATAAATTATTTACTTGTGTGTATTAGGAAAATAAACCCAAATTCTGAAAAAAAAAAAAAAAACATTAGGTTTTATGAAGGAAGAATCACATGAAGGTATGAAGTGTGAGGCAGGATGTTGCTCATAAAAATGGCAAATTTAAAACAAATTAACGTAAAATCATAGGCAACTATGGAGAAATCCAACTTGTTCCATGAACCTTCTGAAACAAACCAAGCCACAGCATACGACAGAATTCCTACGGTATCTATTTACAGTTCTTCAAGTTCCAACCACTCATTTGGAATTACCACTCTGGTTGGGATTTTCCTGTTGGATGCCTCACAGAGTGGGAATCTGATCTCACTCCTTAGAATGTACATTCCTTGAAGCGGTCGGAGGATCGGGACCCGGTCTGCTGTTTTCTGCATCCTCTACCAGACCTATCATTGTGCTCCAAGAGACAACACACGATAAAGGCTCAACAGAGGAAGATGTCACATTTTTCAGAAAGGCTGAACCCAAGCTTACAGCCACTTGGGGAAAGGAAATAACCACGCTTTTTAATGACATTACCTGGTTACCTCACATCTGGGAAAATTAGATCAACATTCTCTTACCTGGTCTCTTTAAAAAGGGCAATCTGCACTTCTGCCTTATACTGTGAGAAGAGCCATAAAGATAAGTATGACCTTAGAAGAAACCACCAACTCATTAGGGATGCCTCCAATGAGCCAGAGACAGTGTTGGTCTATGGAGAACTTTAAAATGGCTGAAGACGGGCGCCTGGGTGGCGCAGTCGGTTAAGCGTCCGACTTCAGCCAGGTCACCATCTCGCGGTCTGTGAGTTCGAGCCCCGCGTCAGGCTCTGGGCTGATGGCTCGGAGCCTGGAGCCTGTTTCCGATTCTGTGTCTCCCTCTCTCTCTGCCCCTCCCCCGTTCATGCTCTGTCTCTCTCTGTCCCAAAAATAAATAAAAAACGTTGAAAAAAAGAAGTTCCTTAAAATGGCTGAAGAGCATTTAAAAAATAACACTGAGTGGGGCACCTGGGTGGCTCAGTTGGTTAACCTCCAACTTCGGCTCAGGTCACAATCTCACAGTTTGTGGGTTCAAACCCCACTTCGGGCTCTGTGCTGACAGCTTGGAGCCTGCTTCAGATTCTGAGTCTCCCTCTCTCTCTCTGCTCCTCCCCCGCTCATGCTGTCTCTCTCTGTCTCTCTAAAATAAACATTAAAAAAAATTTTTTTACAGTAACACTGAGTTAGTGTACTTAATGGTAGAAATTTTCCTCTTAAAAAAAAAAGTGGTTCAAAGCAGTTAGATTTTCTAGCTTTTGAATTCTGAAACACTGGAATTACAAAAATTCAATCAATATGTCTTTAAAAAATACTCTTCCTGAAATTGGTTTATTGCTAATGCTAAACAAAAACCAGTCTTCCTCTTAGGCAACAAGGAAGTGAAGGGGGGCACGGCAGAGGAGTGGAGGGAAGTCGGACACACCAATTTTTTTTTTAAGTTTTTATTTTAATTTACACACCAACAATTCTTCCTTCTGTTTGTGGTAAAGGGTTCATATTCCTAATCCAAAGACAGAAGGGAAGAAGCTTTGTCCTGAATTAAATCTGTTGGCAACAAAAATAGGGCTCTACGAAGCAATGTATATTAAAGCAATGCTGGGATTTTGAGTGGGATTATGTTGAATATGCATGATACACAAAAGGAAAATGTTCATTACTTACAGATGTGTTCCAAGTTGTGCTTTCTTCCTTTTTTGGAATATCAAACAGAGGAAAGCAAGAGGTTTGTAGCCATGTTATTATAAGCATTGCCGCCTCTCCCCCTCTAAACTAGAATATTCCAGTATTTATTTTGTTATCCATATGACCACAGTTTAGACTAGAGTAAAAATAGAAGCCGTGTGATCCTAACCTGAAAAGTCCCAACTGCTGGAGAGGGTCAGTATTAATATATTCTAACTGAAATAACGAGATTCTGTTTCCTGGTGGAGTTTGGCAAGAGAGGGGGGAAAAAAAGATTTGGAATTTATTTCTTACTCAGAAGTGTTTTGTAAAAACTACCATAACGAAACAGACTCCCAGTCAAGCACAAGAAGCCAACAGGCTCTGGTTTAGATTTAATAATTCACTCTAAGGGTTTTCAACTGTTACAATTTTAGGTCCCAAAGCACAAACACATATATTCTCCACCCTACACAGGGGCTGACAGAATGCCACAGGAAGCCTATGGGACAGGAAATTGGGAAAGACCTTTTGTCCAGAGGGTAGACCACACCCTCCCAGACTCCAGCTGATGCCCAGGACCAACTTGCATTGAGGCTAGCTAGCAACAGCTGATGGATGGAATTTCCAGCTCAGCCTGTACTTCAGAGGGCTCACCTAGCCCTGAGTTTGAATGTTACTAGGAATACGGGACACTTGAGTACTGGCCTGTAAAGAGACACTTTGACGATTTAAAAGATGCCAACTAACAGGGGTGTCTAGGTGGCTCAGTCGGTTGAGCGGCCGACTTTGGCTCAGGTCATGATCTCACGGTTCCATAAGTTCGAGCCCCGTGTCAGGCTCTGTGCTGACAGCTCAGAGCTTGGAGCCTGTTTTGGATTCTGGGTCTCCCTTGCTCTCTGCCCCTCCCCCACTCACATTCTGTCTTCCTCTCTCTCTCAAAAATAAACATTTAAAAAATTAAAAGATGCCAACTAACAGAAATTGGCACAGGCCCTTTGGGAAGCACACAGGTAATGTGTTTTAAGAAGATAGAAAATCTTGGGGTGCCTGGATGACTCAGTCAGTTAAGCATCCAACTCTTGGTTCTGGTTCAGGTCATGACCTCATGGTTTGTGAGTTCGAGCCCCATATTCGGGCTCTCTGCTGTCACCGCAGAACCTGCTTGGGTTCCTCTGTCCTCTTCTCACTCTGCCCCTCGATTGTGCGTGTGCGCGTGCGCGTGCACACACACACACACACACACACACACACACACACACACACTCTCTCTCTCTCTCTCAAAAGTAAACATTAAAAAAAAAGATACAAAATCTAGATATTTCTACTCTCAGGCATTATCCTAAGGAAATATCCTAAGAAGAAAAAAAGTTAGGGTGTTTACTGCTGTATTAAAGGTAAAATCACTGAGACAACCTAAAGGCCAACTGTAGCAGGGGAGCTCTGTAAATTACGTGTGCTAGATTAACTTTCTCAGCATAGCCATTAAAAATCATATACACAGAGCAATAAAGAAAAATGTTTAGACAACACATTAAATTTCGAAAGCACATATTGTTTTAATTTTTCCTAATATTACAACTCTGTTAAAGTTTCACATCATTTGGCCAAACACTGGCAGGGGAATGGAAAATGAAGAGAGTTCATTGGTGAGGGTATGGTGGTGGCTTATGAGTGATTTCTTTCCCAAATGATATTATTGTGCATTTTTACATATATACGTATGGTGCTAAGTGCTCAGAAAGCACAAAACCAGTGAGTCACAGTCACAAATAACCAGGGGCTAGTTTCTAAACATCAATACTACAAATGAACTTCTGAAAACAAACATTATTTAACAGTTCACGCATTCAAACATTGACAAGTGCATACGCATGTGTGTGCATATATATCTGTAGATCTATATTTAGAATCTAAAGAAAGAAACATGGAATTATATTAGGTGTATATTAGGTGTATAAGTGACAAGCATTAAAAAGAAAACTTCACACTTCAGAAAAGTGCCACAGAATGACACAACAGTGCTTGGTCTACACCCGATCCATTTCATCAGGGGTCACAATAGCAAAAGGTCTAGCACAATGGATATTCAATTACAAGATTCCAGGTTCTAAAGTTTCCTGGGTTTAATTACCCATCTCATTAGCTACTCTTGGCTCCTAGGTTAAAGCAAGGAAGCCACTCCATGTCAGAGTGAGGTTGCCCAGCTTCCCAGTGCACAAGCTTCCATTCCAGCTTAGGCCCTGCCATACGGAGGACAAAACCTGAACGTGGAACGCTGAGCCCTGACATGCCTACAGGGCCGACAGGCCAAGTGCACCCCTGAATATTCCACATCGCTCCTGGTTTTCAGAGTCTGTTCTACCACACTTGTCTGTCTGTCTGGAAGGGGAGCCTTGCATTCTGCTTCTCCTGCTAATTCCAGAAAGCCTTTCGGTTGACACAATGATTGCCTGATCTAGGAGGACTTTTTCAATAACGATGACATTTGTTGCTGGTTTCTTATCTTGGAAGACTGAAAGTGTGTCCACACTTCTCTAAATAAAAGTAACAAAACAAGAAAGAAGGGGATAAATCCAAAGGCGGTAAGACCACTGATTTCACTCTAGAGCCAAGCTGTTCTGAATAGCTGGCTTTTAAGACCCAGGGCCAAGTTCAAAGCAGCAGCTGTACTGTATGCCCGAGGGATTATTCACATTCCTGATACCTGCTGGAAAAAAACACCCTGATTCTGCCCAAGACTCATAGCCCCAGGCCCCATATTTCTTTTTATTATATAAAGGAATTGTTCTTGACCAAACTTTTTAACCAAGTGGGGGGAAAAAAAAAAAAAGCAAGGGCCAAGCAGCTTTAAAGAAATGGTTTCCTTGACAGAGAAACCAGGATAAGATTTAAAGATATTGGGGCGCCTGGGTGGTTCAGACAGTTAAGCGTCCGATTTCAGCTCAGGTCATGACCTTGCGGTTCGTGAGTTCAAACCCAGAGCCTGAAGCCTGCTTCGGATTCTGTGTCTTGCTCTTTCTCTGCTCCTCCGCTGCTCGCTCTCTCTCTCAAAAATAAATAAATGTTAAAGTAAGTTTAAAAAAAAGATTTAAGAATATCATTAGAGTCTATTATGAAATCCATCATAGACCCTGCATGAAATTTTCCAAGAAATGGAGCCTCCCCAGGCTATCCCACAGCACTTGAGGCAGGAGCATGAGCTCCTGGACACAAGCATGTGCCTCACGGAGTGCGTTTATGTGTGTCACATGATCTGCACCACCTCTAAGCAAACACATTTTAGAAAGTGCTCCTGTTGGTATGCTGAAGTGTTGTATTTGAGTCATTTACGTGAAGATGAC